GAAACAATCTTTAGAAATTGTTTAGTAATAAAGGCATCACAGAAAAGAACAAAGAATTGCTATTAGCAAAGCACTACTGTTCAAGGGCTGTCAAAGTTTCTAGGAGTCCAAGTGCCTCTGTCCTCGCCCAGTGCTGCCAGTGAGCTACTGTGGAAATGAACGCTAGTCATTTCCCCTCTTTATGCCTAATTTTTTTCTGTCTGTACAATGGAGATTAAGTACTTTGCATAGCAAATACCACTGAGATCTAAGGACAACAAATATCCATAAAACAGATCAGCTATTATTATTTCAAAAATAATCTATTCTGTTTGCATCCCTATGTCTGGGTTTTTTCTACATTTAGGGGCTCTGTATGATATTTGATTTTATACTGTATTGAATGAAGGTTACATAGAGATAGCTACCAAATTTATGATCAATAGAAAATTGCAAATTTTTTCTCCCAACCAATTCTTTCCAATGATCCAGTACAACACATCAATAAAAAGCTCGGAATTGACGCCGTTTCCCTATTTCATGCCCTGTTTAAGTTCCCTGTGGATGACAGATTAATTTAGTTAGTTTCATTGAACTGCCTAGTTGCTTTTATTGCCAAATCCACTCATAGGAAGAAGGCTGCAAATTTCTCTTGGGGTTAGCATTGTCCTACTGGTCCATTTTTAAAATTAAAGTGAATTTACTGTCATTTCTTATATATTTTTCTGCTACATTTTCTGCTGTTAGGACTGACACTTGTAAAGTGCCTCCACTGACACTTATGTAGGAAGTTTAAAGTTGTTGTTTTTCCTAAACGTGATTAACGAAAAAAGGAAGCAGACAGCTACCGTCAAATGGACTGTGAACTAAATACATAGCTCAGCTTTCACTGGGGAATTAAATTAATCTGATCACAACGCAGAATATGGCTCTTCCATGCCACCTGGAAGCAGAGAAGTGGTCAGCCACTTTCCAACTTCCTCCGCTTGACAGCTTGCTCAGCACAGAAGCATCAAAACAACAGCACTGAGGCTACGAAGTATATATCCAAGGCTCAGTTTGCTTAAAGGTGGGTCTGCTCAAAGTCCTCAGACTTCAGCGCTCTGCCAGGCAGTGTGAGGTATATGAAATAGTCCAAAATTAACAGCAGGAAGGGACTGAATTTAATCCCAGTGGTCAAATGCCCAGGACCATGGAAAAAATATGAATCTAAACTTGGGTTTGGATAAGAATTTTATTCATGGCAGTATTTCTCTGTGCAGCTGACTGATCCAGGATCCCATATTTTTAGAAGTGGGAGAGGAGTAATTTAAAATCTAGATGAAAAATTTGAAGCTTGGACCTTTTTTTTTTGGTTTTTCTGTCTTTTTTGTAGAAAGTCAAAAGAGATATTTTATGCTCCAGTGAATTTCCCAATCCTCCTCTGAGTTTAGAAAAATGAGCAGATGCTGCCTTCTAATTTTGGACATCAGAGTTCTCTCCACCAGATTTCAAACACTCTTCCTAAGATTTGAAAGAGCCTCCTGCCCTGTGTGGCACTTTTTTTAAAAAGCAGGGATTGGGTCTATTTCCACAAGATCTTGTCCAAAGTTCTTCTAGGAAGTGTTTAGTTCTCAAAAGACCACTCATTGACCACATCTACAGAAATCTGTGTCATCAATTCCTTTGTAAATCCAACTCTTATGAGGCTTCTTCAACTGCACAGTCAAGAAACCACTCTTAAGATTTTTCTTCAGACTTAAAAAACATAGTGGAGTTGTACAACCTCAAAGCAAATGCCAGTTAGCTGTTTTATTATCAGATTGTTTTTATACTCAAAGTTAAAGAGCAAACTAACAAAACTAAATATGTAACTTGGCATAAGCATAAGGGGGTTCAGTGATTCTAAGAGCAGCACAAATGACCGTATTAAAATAGATGACTAATAAAATGATTCCTCTTACCAATATCTTTGCTTTGGATTTGCACAAGAGGTGGTCATTTTTTTTCCAGATGCTGAAAACTTCTGCAAAGCTTTACAGCAAGCATGTAAAATTTAATCTTTCTGAACCTGTGCTCTAATTACTGAATTATATTCCCATGGGTTCACCAGCCCTTTCACCTATCTATTCATTTTGTTACTATCATCCTTTTGACAAAAAACACACTTTGGATGCTGTACGAAACTAAGGCTTACTAGAATCTTAACCTAGCCCTGAAGTGTCCATCCATTACAGAATCAATAAAAAGGGTTAAAAAATTTTCCAATTATGGAGGGAGTGCTCCCATACTTTTTAAATATTATGCATTTAAGATATATAGGTCATGTTCTGTTGGAGTATATATGTTTTAAATTCTGAGCTCAGAGTTTTAAAATGACATTTAAGTACATTTATCCATGTCACATCAGATCTGGTAGAAGTGAGGTAAAAGCCTTACTATCTGATTTACTTGTCAATTAGTTTATGAACTCTCATTCTGTCACAGCAGCAAGCACGCTTTAAAAAACAGAATCATTGGGTTTTTAGGAATACTAAAATCAGGAAGATTGAATTCCTGTATCAAAGATATGATTTTATGGTCCAACTAAGTTATAACGTATCTGTGTGCTATATAAACCATACACATATCACTAAATGAATTGCACAGAATTCAGAAGGACCTTATTTTGACTCCAAATCTTGTTCTACTTGAGCTTAGAGAATATCTTTTCAAATAACACAAGGAAGAACAGCATCTCTATTCTTACTTTATAGAGTAGCCAAAGGTAATATCACACATTTGGATATAAAAACACAACATTCTAAAAATGCGATTTTCTTGATTATGGTATTAGCAATCCTTAAAAAGCCAATGAAAGTCAGGAATGAAAAAATTCATTAATACTGTTTCCCATATTTACAAGAATGGAACTATTCTGTCAGCAGAAGACCCTAATGTGCTCACAGGGGGTTACTCCAGGCTAACATTTATAGCCTCAAAGGGTTCTTTTTAGATAGGCTAGAACAGTCAAGGATGCTTGGGTTTTTGTACTCAAGGTATATTCTTTTCAATTTCATTGTGTGTAAATTTAACTAATGAAGAAAAATTAAACATTAGTTAGGAAATCAGATTCTTATGAGATGCTTTCAAGAATAATGTAGAAACACCTCGTGAAAATATCCTTGCAATCCCAACTAGAGAGCTAGTACAAATTCATGCACAAGTGAAAATCACCTTATATAAATATGGTACCCTGTGAAATCAATGGGATCCAATCCAATTAGTTATATGTCTGTTTCCAACGTTATGACAGTCAAAAATCTATCAGATGGTGATGTTTTTCAAGGAATTTTTTTTTAAGAGCTCCTATATATTTACATACACAACTGAATGGGCTTGGTTATTTGTGTACACAAATAGCTATCTCCATATCTAATTAAGCGGGACTGCAAATTCTGACATTAATGCTCATTGTACAAAGATTTAGTGTGTGAATCAACACCATTATCAGGCCAAACTCAGAAAGGTAATCTGAAAATGGTCAGATTTTACTTGACAGTAAATACAAATACATCCCCACAGTAAATATCTGAACTCATACATAAAAGTAAAAATTTCTGGAGCCTATTAGCAGATAGTCTTATTAAGTTATAACAGTTGCTTTTTTAAAAAAAAATTAAAGCCAAGTGACTGTTTTTCAAATGCAAAATTAAGAAACTAAGAATGTGATATTTTATAAAGTATTTTGCACTGTTCTGATGCTAAAATGCCTTGTGCTTTAAGTGGAATTTTTGCAGGTCATTAGTTTATAATGCAAACCAGCACCTTTGGGTATTTTTTAAAGGAAAATGAAGATGGGAGGAAAACAAGCTGAGCTGTTTTGTTTATACCAGCATAGGAAACTACATTTCTAAGCATTTGATTCAGCTAAAGCTCTACCTTTTATACAGTTTTAGTGGCAGATGCTATAGTGACAATAAAAGTGACTGAAATACACGCTGAGGCTTTTTGCAAGTAGCATCATGATATGCAGCATCCTTCTAAGATAGGAGCTATCCCCAGTGTATCAATCGTACATAAAGAAGACCAGAACCTAATTTTCAATCCTCTTATCTCATCCCCCAGTGTCTCCTTTCTCTTCTATTTTTTATTGGGAGGAGACAGAAGGTTGCCACAAGATCATTTCTGTGGCAGCTTCGACTCCCCCACTGGTTTTCTGCTCAGTGCCTGTGACTGACACTTAGTTCTGCCTGAAGGACAAGGACAGGACAGACTTCTGAGTGCCAATCAATGGAGCATGCCACATGCTGTAATTGAAAAATACAGTGCTTCTGCAATAAGATGAGGACATCATTTTTAGTGCAAAGCTGTGGTAAAGAGAATTATAAGTGAGTAATATGCAGCTCACATTTATTTTTATGGTCCCTGACTTAACATGGCCAAAAGAAGTGAACCTGAGCTACAGAATTTGGATGCAGATCTGAACTGCCTGTAATTCAGCAATGTTCAGATCAAGATTAAGCCCCACCTTTGATTTCATCTGCAGAGCACAAGATCCTTTCAGCCTAATCATCCTAATCTGATGTCCTGATGTGCCTTCAACCAAGTTATCTATTAGCTTGGCGCACACAACAGCATAGCACAGCAAGCCAGTGTTAGTAAATCTGTGAAAGTATCCAAATTGCACACCCCTAATCTTAGGCCATCTCGTGCTATTAAGTACTTTCCTTAGGCTCTTCTTTTATGGAAACTTCTCTAGCAAAACAATGCAGGACGTACTTAGGAAAAGCCTATCCTTCCAAATAGGGCATGCTCCTCCACCTAAAGCGAGCAAAACATGGTTAAACACCTGTAGAGACCTACCCTAGCAGTCTGTGAACAAAGCTAAGGAAAGTTGTCCTTAGGGATCCCACTGCTGATCGGAGAAACAAAAGCATCACAAGGATTTGCCTAAGGTCACAAAGCAAGTAAGTAGCAGAACAACACTAAACACTATTGCTTCTCTTCTTACCTTCCCTTCTGGCTGCAACTTCTAATGGGAGATTTGGGAAGTTACATACCTTTCAAAAGGTAAGTGAATGTATTTAGAAACTCTTCATATGACTGCTCATGGCTATTAATAAATTGATCAAGGATGCTGTTCTTTAACAATTGTTCTCCCATGATCCACACCTTGACAGTTGAACAGGTATATCTGCTTTAGTAGGCTGCTTCTGCAATAGAAATAAAAGAGCCATATGTATCTGTAGGCAGAAAACAAATTAACTGAAGAGTCCCTAATTCACATAGATGAGCAGCAGAATGTCAAATTTTTCTTCTCTCCTTGTGAAGTTCTGATCTTGTCAGTGGGACTTTACACAACATTTCCCCCAAAATGCAAGTGGACATAGTAATTTTAAGTGCAAAGGGAGAGACTGTGATCATCTATGTTCTCGGGTAATATGGGCCACAGAAATGCCAACCTCTCTCAGTGGTGTTCATTCCCCCTCGTTTTAAGTTGTTTAGTCTTACAACCCCTGCCTTCTTTGCAGAAACAGTGACACCACTCACTAGTGTGTTGGATTTAACAACTGAGACACCTGTACATTCAAAACTTGGACTGAATCCATCATTCTGCAGGTGCACTGCTCACTGTACCATCAAAGCCACTAAACCCAGATTTTGGAGGGCATGTTAAATTATGATGAAATGTGTGTGTATGCTGAGACAGCACACAGGACGGGGAGGGTATGATGGAACTGGGCAGCCACGTAGGAAGGCAAGGACCACTCTCGAGAAGGGAACAAATGCTGAGAGCTGAAGGAACCCCATAGAGGCTTTTCTGGACTTGAAAGCTCGACTCTTCAGTCACACAGCAACAGCCCATCTTCATCACCTTACCACACCCTAAGGGAAGTAATGGCCCTGAAACAGCTCTCAGCGAAGTATGCTGAAGTTAACGTTGTCCCTCACTTATAAAAGCTGTGTACATGCATTTTAACACCTGTGTAATGCTAAACAGTTAATAATATTATTATTTTTTTGTACACATAGGACCAGACTACTAGAAGCAGAAAAACACAGGTGAGGACATGGACACACATAACTGGCACATTGTCTCACATGGTGGCAACTTAACTAAAAAATGTAAATGACCAGTTTGCATACATAAATGTGATAAAGATGCAAGAATGCATTATACACTAGGTGCTCAATTTTCATGTGTTCCCATTTTTCTTCTCTTGATTTACCACAGCATTAAGAAGTGTCTTTTGGGAATGAAAGCTTAATTCCTCAGCAAAACTTCAAATCAACTACACTAAGGAAAGGCTGCCAACTTGATTTCAAAGTTAAATAAGATCAAACAAGAATTGTTCAGAGCCCAGCAGGAAAACAAAGCATGATTTCTAATGTCAAACTCTCTTTTGTTGGATTGCCAGCTTGTAAAGAAGACTAATGTTCTGAAGATATAAAAACACATGCACACCCACATGACCTAAAGTGTAAGTTTTCTAATGTTTTACAAAAAACAAACCAGTATTAATCTTTCTGTGGACTGACCAAGCAGAATATAATTTACCAGACTCTCAGAGTGGTTTATGCAAATTATGGTGGTTTCAGAGGGAAGCAATACCTTCTATTCCTTATTATTGTTCAGTTATTACAGTCATTATTTGAGGTAAATTTCATTATAATGAAAGACTGCAGTGATTTGTAAGGCTAGTGTCAAGGAAAAAAAATACATATATTTAATCAAGAAAATGGTAATAACAACATTTTGTTTTTCTTTGGCATGTGGCGTCTAGGATCTCCCAAGTCCTTTATAAACACTAATGAAATAAACTTCACAATAGTCCCATAAGGAAGAGCAAACAAATATTATTCCAAATAACAGATGAAAAAACTGAGTCACCAAGAGTTTAAATGACTTATAAACAAATCAGAGGAGGGCTGGCAATAAAGCTTAGATTCCTTTACTCTAAAATGCTCTAGGAAGCTAACAAATTGATAAGCAATTCGAGGGAACAGTTGTATCCTTAACCAAGCTGAATGGCAGCTTTCTCCGTGAATGCCATGTTCTACAGCCACCAGGTCATCAGCCTGAGATTAAGCATCCAGACCAGATGTTAGCAAAATGCTATAGCTCAATTCTTACTCTGCTGAGCAGCCTCTACTTCCTACAGAACTTGGGAAACTTCAGATTTTAACGTTCTTTACTGGTTAAACTGTAGAGGAGCAATAGTGCAACAAGACATTGGATAAACACCAGGTTTTGACTCATGACAGTTAGCTAGGAAACACAGTGCTGAATTCAACTTGACAAAGTTTTAGCCAAACTAGGATTGCAAAATCCTGAACATCAACCTCATGAAAAAGCAAGCACTGGATGCTGTTAGAATATAATCTAACATTTAATACCCGAGATCTCCTGACGTATGGAGATTAGGAAGTTATCCCTGAAGGTTTTAAACATATATTTCACTGGGCCTACGTATTTTCATCTAGCATGCACTTCAATATGTATGCATTGGGAGAAGGATCATCAAAACAGTATTACTTTAAAAAAAAAAAACAGCAGAGAAAATTCCCTGGATATTCCAAGCATGGGGAAAGATTACTTTCTCAAGACTAACAGCTTTTTTTACCAGAAAATGGACCGAATTTTTACCCAAGTCAAAGCAGTAAATCCAGAGTAGCTCTCCTATAGCCAATATAGTTATTCCTGGCATTAGTATATGAGATCTGCTATCAATTATGTCAAAAGTATTCAACTTGGGTTAAGAAAATAAAATAACTTGTAATTCATAGGCCACATTTCCTTATTTTTTCTTCTGGAAAAAACCCAAAGAATATATTTTGGAACATGAGTTCACTAAATTATTCATATTTTAATAAATCCTAAACTGAAGAAGAGAGGAGAAAACCCTATTTGTCATTTTGGCATCCATCCTCCATTGCTTTTTATAAGAACTTCACAATTTTGCTTCAAAAATCTAAAGCAAGAAATAAAATGCAAAATGGACTACAGAGGTGATAGTCTAACACAGACCTAATCTTCCCTTGCACAGCTGTTATTTACATCTACAGAATCATCTCCTCATGGAGAGGAAAAACCAGCTAGGTCCTAATAAAAGTCTAGGTTCTGTCAGAAGAACAGCCATTCATTCAAACAATAGAGAGGAGAGACTGGCAGCTAGAATTACCTGTCCCCCCCGGTTTTCAATTATTTTGAAGAACTGCAGGGTGCTATTACATCACCCTAAATGAAAGCAAGCACGGAGGATGGTATTTGGAGAACATCTACTATCCCTAAAACTGAATATATGGTTAGGATGGATGGTACAATAGAGGTGTTCAGAAACGTATCTCAACCTATCAAGGTTTTTGTATTTTTCATTTTCATTCCACTTTGGTTTTCTGCTGCTTCCCACCTACTTTATTCCTGAGTCTCTCTTAAATGAATATCATACTGTGTCAGCTGCAGAGAAGTTTTGTGATGTGAACAGCTGAAACCAGGCTGACCAGAAGACTCTCACCTTTGCCAAGGAGCTAACCGGTAGATTCTACATAAGTAAAAGGCTTCAGCAATCATCCAACTCACAGCCTCAAGGCAATGACTTCTTTGAACTGTCATGAAAAAAGAAAAGAATGTACAATAATGGATTGGAATCACCCACAATTTATGAACTGGATACAATTACACCTCTACAAATAAAATGACTGCATTGTTCTGCTAGAGAGTAACTACTACTGAAATCAAAAACTTACCTTCTTTTTTCCAAAAGGCATCAAACTAACTTGGAGGTTTCAAGGAAAGTAAGGGAAGGATATCTGATCCTTTCCCCATGCTGGCTCTGGATAGTTTTAGAGTCAAATATCAGTAAGTGATGCATTCAAGCAGCAACTATACTTCCTTCTTTTTGCATTTCACTCCTGCTCATCCATCCAAATTACTCTAATGAGGTTTCTTGAGGCAATCATTCATTAAGCCTTGCTGATCATCAGCAGATTGTGCAAAATCAATTTTATTTCTCAAAATAAAAGCCTTCTTCCCAGCAGTTTAAGCCAAACCAGAAATCTCTGCATCGAATCACAGAGGCAGGTCAAGTGAGTATTAGCATGATTTCAATTACACAGTTATTAGTTCTATTAAACAATAAAAAATGTGGTGGAATATAGGCTTCCTGTTTTATGCTGCATTTTTGAGTGCTTTATGTTTCTTTTAAATATCATATAGACAATGAAAGAAAAATGACGATTCTGAATTTTTAAATGGAAAGAGCAATAAGCTAATCCTCTCTACAAACTGACTAAAACCTTACATAATTTTATTTTTCTGGAAAAAAAATACTTCCCTAGTGTTTCTGACATAGGTTAAAGTCAGGTTTCCACACTCTGAACTTGCTCTCCCAAAAGTCATTCTCAATAAAAACAGGGATATTCAGAAATGTTTATCTATAGATCACTCATAGGTTCATGGAAAACATCACTAAATACACCTGTTCACAAGATTTTATAACCTATGTCTGCACAAATCAGCTTGAACACAAATACATTATTTTTACATCTTACACTCTGTTACCAGACAATGCCT